TTTGGCGTTTCAGATCATCGAATGCGGCCTGTCCCGCCATATTTTTAACAGTTAAAGGAAATTAATCCTGTTTTTTCCTATGCTACATGGAAACGAACCGGTACAAGACGCTTATTTTAAATAGACGAAGGTTTGAGAAGATATAAATTATGAATTAAAGTTTGGGTCATTAGTATAAGAAATGGCCGGGTTTTTAATCATACGCATAATACCAGATGTTCATTATGGGCCATATTCTGTGTCTTTTACCTTGGACAACACACCATCCAGTGTTTGTGTAGGTAGTTTAAACAGATATTTATTTGCTGCTAAAATATATTCTATAGTTTTGATAAAAAATGTGGATTTTTTTAGGTAAGGAAAAATAAATAACTATATTTTGATTGTGGGCCACATAGTGGATCTTAGAGACTGTGATAAATTTTGAATCTGTATTCATGTGGAATCTTGAATTAACGTTTACCGGGTCTTCAGTTTTGGATGAAATTCCAGATCTTTATTAATCATTTTATTTTACTATCTGAAACAAGGAAAGAAGATGAAGTTCCAGGAATTAAAACGAGAAGCTGAGAATAGGGAAACCTGGAGAGCTCTTTTTGGGCAGAGCAATCGACCTGTCGTAAGACAGAACACTGAATAATAATTATAATTACATCTGTTTTGTTACTTAAGGGACCCAGATTTCTGGTTCCGCGTGGGTTTATATTCTGAATGGAGCTTCTACTGTGACGCAGGCGTAATTTTACAATTTTGGCACGGATGAAAATCTTGGGTGTTTTGCGTCAGCACATGGACTGTAGTTAACACACAAAACAAGTAGTTTGTCATCGCTATACGAACGTAAATATGACGAATAAAGTAAGAGAAGCAACACTTGCATTTTGTTTTTTTTGTTGAGAGTAAAATGCCGTGTTTCAGAGTCACATAAAACAGACTCAGAAATTGTATTGTATGTATTGTTTCGAAAAGTAAAGTGAATGATAACACGTTTATATGTTGGGATGCACGGGAGGAAATGGATTAACACGTTGCCTGCTTTACAGTGAACTGGCGGAAACAAAAATAGAGACGGGGGTTACGGATGCATAAACGAAAATCCTCACTAATGCTGTTTCCGCATGGCTTTCCCCTTTGATACCGATACTATCGTTACAAGGTAGTATGAAAGTGTTGCGCGTGAAGCGGGCCTTAACAGACGTATGTAATTACAGTGCCATAAAACTATAATGAAACTTAATTTATCTCTATACGGCCATACCGTTATACGCGTTTTCACACGTTTATATTAGTTCGTTTCTAAATAACGCATTTGTAATGTGCCTGTTCATTGTAATGACTGTGTTTAATAATGTAAGCTCTTTGCTCTATTCGTGCAGAGGAAATAACTGTAGATTTTCTTTCCGGATTAGTGGTGGTTAAAACTAGTGTATATTTATCAGATGAAGACATTGGTTTTGTGGTTATAGAAGGCTGGAAATGTGTTCGGAATGGATAAATAGGGTCTTTGGCTAGAATGGACATTTTTTTGGTTGCCATTCTTCAGATAATCGCACACATGCGCTTTTTGAAATTATTACGGTCGTACGCCCTCAGACAACGAAGAAAGCAGCGCAAATTATTCACATAATTCTGTTCTGTTCTTTGCGAAGTTTTATAGTTCTGAAGATTTCCGTCTTCTGGGTTGTTGCGCCGTGTAGTCTGGTCGATGTTAACCAACGTTTCAGAAGTCATACTGCCTCCGTCATCAGGGCGATGAAGATTCCTGTCTTATGGGTTGTTGCGATGTGTAGTCTGGTCGATGTTAACCAAAGTTTCGGAGGTCATACTGCCTCCATCATCAGGGCGATTGGAATCTGTATGACCTCTGAAACGTTGGTTAACATCTACCAGACTACACAGCGCAACAACCCAGAAGACAGAAATCTTCATACTCACCGCTGTGAAAACCTCAAATCTTACATTTTATAGTTCTCTCTAATGTCTGTTTATCTATTTCTACCTACCAACGCCAATCTGCCTACCTTCTTTCTTATCCATCTTTCCATTGGTCGTTTATATTTTTTGTCTTTTTGTTATTTTTTGTACTACTTTGTTTTTCCTTCTCATCTTTAACTTTGTAGGACTTGAGATTCTCACGGCGGTGGGTACGAAGATGTCTGTCTTCTGGGTTGTAGCGCCTTGTGGTCTGGTAGAAGTTTATGGACGTTTCAGAGGTTCATGTTGCCAGGCAGCGTTGTTCTCCGAAACGTTGGTAAACGTTAACCAGACTACACGGCACTACAACCCAGAATTTATTTAATTTTATTTTTGACGACAGGAATATACAAGTTGATTTCTTGAAGCAGCTGTGTACTATGAACGTGTCACCATGCTAGCGCTCTGCCATCGGTCTCAGCCAACCTTGCGGTAGGCCTGTGTTCTTACTGGTCTATTTCTGGTCGCGGCAGAGCGTCAGGCCTCTCGGAGTGTTCGGTTACGCGTGTTGATTCTGCTAAATATCTTGCTCCAAAATTAAATCTGCCCGAGATATTTCGGTTTTGTTTGGCAGATACAGTAACCGGAAGTTACATCACACAAATGTTTGCGTTCCTTTTGTTTAACGTTACAAAAATCTTCTCTTGGGTTACGATGTCGCTTATTCAGGCGGGAGGTCTTCGCTAGTTGCTTGGTGATTGTAGTCGTTGCAGATTTGCCTGATGAGCCAAGGACATGACCGATCAGAATTCGTGTGATTTGCACTGCTCGGTGTAGAAGCTTTCTGTTCTTAGCGGTCTGCTTTTAGCTGAGACAAGAGAATGTGATTACACTCACAACGGAATCATTTTTATCTCTCTCCTAGGCCTGGAGGATGCTGGCTGTGAAGGGGCGGTTAGGGGGCGAATTCAGTTCCTGATTGATTGCACCCAAGTTCCAAAACGTGTGCGGGGGAGGAAAACCGCAAAGCCCCATGGGCCATTTCCCAACAAAATAGACTCACCCCTTCTGTCCTTTTTTTTCTTCTTGCAACACATTCTAGCTCCGTTAGAATTTTCTGTGCCCCCTGCAAAACCTCCCAATTTCCTCCCTGAAGAAATTTATTTGAAAGGTGACTTCAGTTAACATGAGTTGTTGATCAGTACACCCGGTCCGATACTAAGCTCAGCTGTTCTTATTGGATGTTCTGCTTTGCTAGATGGAACACTAACTAGATTTGTAAAGCAGGTGGGACATTTCGTTACCACTGGGATTTAAAAGAATAACTTCTCCTGAGGATCCTGTAGCATTACCTAATCTGTTCATGCGTAGATAGAAAAGTCGGCCATATTTCCTTTACCACTTTCACTGACACGGTTTCAGTTATCCTAAAGTGAAATAGCGGAGCAGAAATTCTCGTCGTTTTTTTTGTGACTTTGATCATGGTCGAGTATTAATTTAATTAAATCGCATTTGTAACATTTTAATATAGAGATGAATTTGTATTGCGTTTAACATGCACTCGTGGTTAGGTGGCTTAATCTTGATTAAGTGTGTGTATGTAACAGTAGAACGGTGTTTTTGTAAGCCGTGGGATATGCGATTGATGAGAGCCATATCATGGGATACACTGCACCTGTTAATGATTGTAGTGATGACGTCACTTTATGCGTGCTCGGACAGTTAAATGTAAGAATGGAACAAGTCCATCCTGATTTATTGCTTCAGGAGTAATATTCATTTGTTTATCGTGACAGCCATCTGGCAAATAATTCCGGTATAGTATCGTCGAAGTGGAAGTTCGTATAAATAGTATATAAAAAATTCAAACCGTACCGCAAAGAAAACAATTCGCCACTGCAATGATCTGTTGTTTCATGTTAAAAGAAATTATCGCTGTTTACTTTGGGAATCATACGAAAACGTTTAGTACAAAGTGCAGTCAAGTTACTGATTGTAAAAGCGGGTGGTACGGACAGGTAACAGTGGGTTTAGAAGGTTAAAGGTCACGGCTACTTCTTTTGCATCCTTTAAAATTAAAGTTCCATATCTATCCCTTGAATGTTGTTATAAAATAGTTGCGGAACTGGGACTAACTTTACTAGTAGAAAATACGATGCCGGCATTGCGTTGTTTTTTGTACTTATCTGAAATTGACTATAATTAATATTTGAATTAAAAACGCATTATTCGATTTCAGCGGCGGGGTACTCGATACGCTCTGAACACGAGTTCCGCCGGGCATAGTTGGGGAGCGTAGAATCGCAAAAAAGAATTTTTATTTTTGTATTGAATATGTGAAAGACAGCGGTTGATGCAAGAAGATTCAACGTAGAAACGTGTGCCACTGTTGTAGGCTGAAGCCTGCGTGACGTAGGTAGATCAGATACTACTTGGCCACGAACAATGTCATAATGTGTCAAGTGAGGACCCCCTCCCCTTTCTCCTCCAACAACGCCACCCCATGTAATTATTGTCAGACTGGCTGAGTCGCGACTTATTACATGATCTGATACAATCTCGTCTGGAACTCTGAGCTTTTGTCGTTGTTGTCGGTACTCCTGGCTACTCTGTCTTAGGATGTGGGTTTGTAAACCGCTCATGGTATGGTACGGTTGTTGGTTTGAAAATCACCAGTTACCTTGTCAATACGTTTAGTGCGCAGAAATGGTAGCCTACTGTACGCAACAGTTAAGGAAGTCGCTGTGACGTATGCGGCCTGGAAAGCAGAAAGAAGTGTTACACTACTAGCAGACCAAAAAACGTTTACCGGTCTTACTTTAAAAGCGCTGGAAGTTACAAAATTGTCGGCAGTAATGTATAACAAAAGAATTAATAATGATACTACGGACAGCGGAGCTGCAGAAGGTACTAAAGACCAATGTTCATCACTCAGGGATAGAGAGTTTACGCATGCGTAGAACATCACTTGCCTGCAGGGCCGATTACGTCATAGGGTCATTCTTCTTTGTCCCGTACAGTAGCAAGGGACGATGTTACGCGCTTGCGCAGGACTCCTCCGTTAGCCTTTTGGTTGGCGCTGTTGGTTCAGTGCTGCAAGCGAGCTGTGACCTGATCGTGGTCGAAGTGTGGCGGTCGGCAGCGAGACGAGGCAGTTTGATACGTGTATTAAACCAAGACCTGGCAGTAATAGGTGAGCGACAAGAGAACAGTTGATAATAGTGTGGAGTCTGGGCAGAACGAGGAAGGTTGTGACTTTCAAACTAACAGTACTGCAAGCAAGAAAATAAAATAATTGTAATAATAGTGACTGCAATAAATAAAATTTCAAAATAAAAGAACCCGCCGTACAATTTACTTATTTCGTTTTCTCCCGGCCACCATCTCTGAACCATTTATGGGGGTGGAGCATGAAGCTTCTCAGTTACCTCTGTCTGGGACTGAGGTTAAAATGCAAAGAGATTTACTTCCATTCCCCTGCACCCTTTCATAGCCTGATGCTTAGACCTAACGCTACTATTTGACTCGATATAAACTGTCTAAAAATAAAATTCCTGCTTTCAGAGTTCAGTTGTTACTTACATCTTGTGCCAGATTTGTGCATTTTATTTTCCGTATACGGTATAATGGGATGACAGTTTCCATACGAGACGGCTCTGTCAAAACGACATTCGAATCCGCTAAATACCTTGAATCCATGCAGCTGCAGCGCAAGGATATGGCTTGTTTTCACAACTGTCAGTGCTGTCTGCATATAACAAGGCTATTTTTGCTAAAACTCGGTCGTGACGTGATATAGGCAAATTGACTTACACTCGCTGTTTCAAACATCGATCTAATAATTCCCACGTGTCTGACTGACACTTTTTAGGGCACGCTCGGGGGGAATGAAGGTATGAATCCTTGTAATCGTATAAAATGCTTTAAGTTATTTCTCAGAATGATGGTAAATTGTGAGAATGGTTTGATTCCGAACCTTTTTTTTTTTGCACGTACTAATGTATGTTAGCTTATACTCCTGAGAAAATAAAACAAATTTTCTTTATTTGACTGCTATATAAAATATGAATAGGACCTATGTGTTATACTCTCAATAAAACAACACATAAATATGAAAGGAAATTAAAGAGATCGATAATGTTTCTTTCGGGCTAATACCCATATGATCCCTTAACTATGACGTTTCTAAATTTGTAACATTAAGCACATGGGGTTTGAAAAATGTGTACGCAAAATATGCATTGTGAACTGTAAGGGTACAAAAATAGAATTTTATATATTTTTGAATTTGTGGTCTAACATTAGCCATTGTATATTTCAACCCTCGAAATTATTAAATTTGGACTCCGTTCACAGGAACTGGTTTTCCAAACCATTTCACAGATATAAAATGTACCGTGCCCGGTATATGAAGAAGAATATATTCACAGATAGGCCCATTACTTGACGAAGGAATCTTAATTTTCCCGAATTTGGCAAGTGGTGATTTAAAGATGAGTTTCAATTAGGCTTCTTGTTTACTTCAGAAGCTTCTCTAGCTGCTTAGTATCTGGGAATTGGTCAAAATTAGCAGGATCGTCTGTATTTGCCAGCTTACAGAAGGAAAAATTTTGACAGAGGCTGGCGAAGGATATTCTGTCGCAAAAAAGGCATGACATTGCTTATAATAGTATTTTCGCAAGTCCTTTGATTAAAGTCGTTGTATTGAGCACTGATTTTCGCGCGTTTGATTTTTTACAAGTACCTAATAGACATCTTTTATGTATTTTAACCCACAGTAATGTAACCCGAAATCTAATTTCAATTGAACATTTAAAGCCCAGTGGTAAGTGTATGTACCACCACCTCCTTTATTATAAGTAGTAACTCTGCCAACTATTCTATACGGATCTTTTCCTTTCGGAAAACTGCCAGAAAACCTTTCATAATACACGCTTTTATATGGTTTTTCTTTGGCACAGTTGATTTTTCCCAGGATGTAAGCCCGTCCCCTCGGGAAATAACAATGCCTGAAACAAAATGTCAGCCATGACATGACAGACAGACAGACAGACCAACCAACGAGTTGAGTGAGCTTTAGTCATGCATGGAGGGGCAATTTTATGCCCTTCCTGCCACTGCTGCAGGGCCCTCCCTCTTTAATGTGCGACATTGATTTTTTTGTGTGTTGGGGGGGGGGGTCCAGAAAAGATAATCACTCCGTGCTTTAGTTGCGTACATTAACCCACGATTACAGGCGGCAGTAATGTTCATATTCTCCACATATGAAGCTTGAGGGATGGATTTGCTTAAATGTGTTGTGTTGAAAAAAATACTTACCTTCGTACGCCTGCTAGGTATGCAAACAGGAGGAACACAATGTAGTTCGTGTCCTTCATGATTTTGCATGAAGTCTTGAGACCCCGATGACGCTGGGCCAGAAGAAAAGCGGATGGAGATGGGTGTCAGTGCTGTAAGGACTTCTTGCAGGACTGAAAACTACAGGAAGAATAAGAGTTAGAACCAAGTACATTCTGATTACGATTTAGGCGCCCTAAAACTCGGCAGAAATTCCTTTTTGATTTAAAGAAGCGTTGCCAGCTCCACAACGTAACGGGTGTAGAATATTCCACCGAGATAAAAGTGAAATTGAGAGACCAATTGTAGACAGATGCCGTAAAGGTCGGGAATATAATCTTAACTATAATAATAACAATACTTTTATTTTGAATATATGTGTGCATATGTTGACTGTAACCTCAGTTGATAAAGCATGGTAAAATAATTTGGTTAACCAATAACTCCTTTTCGCAATGTGTTCATTTTCATATAAATATAACCTGGAAGCGTTCATTTGATATTTTACACTGAATTTCATTTTAGAGGCAATTTTTTGGTATTAATAATATTATTTACCTATCAATGATGTCAAAGCTTCAATACAGGAGATCAGTATGTCATGTCGGTGGGAAATTTGGTTAGTGGGCTGATGCAGTGTTTGTCCATCTCTCCTCATGATGTATTTGTTATTTTATTGGATGCTTTGACGCAACAGCGGTACGCTTTTAAGTACTGACCACTAATTTAACCAAATCGATGGGAATTGGCATTTGAAGTAAACTTCTGTGTAGTTTGAAATCGATTAGTCGTGTTTAACGGGTTAGAAGTGAACGCTAGTTGGGAATAATACAATCGATTCATCGGGCAACCTCTAACAAGGGTTAGCTGTTAGTTGAGAGACTGTCTAATTATTTAGTTTTTCGTTCTACTTGTCACCAGCCCGACCGATATGTTGTACACTACGCCTCTCGTTCTTCAAATGTTTGAAGCTTTGGTCTTCATGTCTATTTTATATCTTCCCACACGTAGTCGTGGCATAGCACCGATTACTGGATTATTTAACGACGCTTTATCGTCTAATTGTAGGATGATTATAAATTTGGAGGACGTGTAAGGAAGCAGTCGCCTCCCCGTTTTAACGCTTTGAAACATGGTAACATTCAGTAACTTTGCGTTTTCCCCACAGAGTAATTTGTTTGAGAGTTTCGAATGATTCTCAGAATCAGCAGCGATAATTTGTTTGAACAGCATTAACCACTTCGTATTTGCAAATTAGACGAATTGTGCTCTTTTTTAAGTGGGGACGATTTTAAAATATTAGTTAGTTGAACTTTATGCTTGAAAGGGTTAAAGTGCTAGCTAATAGGCCTATAGCATTTCGCTGGTAAGTACTACGAGACTGTATGACCCAAAATCCCAGGCGACTTAACATCTTCAAACGTTTTCTTCTGTTAGACAATAAGGTACTCCCACTTGGAGGGGATCAGAGCACTGAAGCTGAAAAAGGCCGGAAGTGACGTCATATTAGGTCTGTAACATAAAATTAATGGTTCTTTGTTTCGGGCTGTGGGGCGGGGGGTCATCAGGTGGATGCTACTTAATGATCTCATGATTTGCGAAAGTCCGCAGTTTGGAATGAATGAAATTCTGTAGTTCAGTTTTTTAACGAAAATATCGGCACTGCTTCAGTTATAAAGAAGTGAAATGTGATTGTGATGGACCATAAACTCGCTCCGACTGGCTTTACCGTCGCGCTAATTTTCCCATTCATACCGTTTGTAATAATAATAGGCTACAAGAGTAATGCAATATGACGTCATGGCAGTATTTACGAAATTTCTTTGAGCGTGCTATGAATCAACACCTTACTTCGAAGAAATAACAGCAACGTCGGGTTTGGTTAGTTATTTACGATCTAGCTTAAGCTGCCATACAGTGACTGTGTACATTATAAGGATACAAATGCTCATTATAAAACCTTTTTTACATAATAATAATGGCTGTTTTCTCTTGTTTCAGGTGAGTCCACAGTGATCTCTGGTGGTCAGTACACGCAGTATAGATGGTGATGTATTCGTAATTTTTTATTCTGAAATTACGCAATGAACATCAAACTGGATGTTGGATGCATTGTTTTTCAAAACAATACTGTGCCATAGCGATCTGCCCAACTCTAAAATGTCATTACTACAGCGTTTGAATTAAGCTCAAAACTATCCAGTTGGCTCATTTTGATTGTACGTTTAATATGACTTTGGCGTATAAGAGTTAGACTTGCCTTTCGTGGCTTCAATGATAATCTCTAATTCTTGTACACAGCTTTGAGAAACCTTATCCACACACCCACACCCCGAATAGCAAGTTTCAGAGAGTGGACACGACCAAGTTTCCTCAGATACCGAAAATCGGCCACCTCCATAATGCTAGCCCAATAGAACGGTACTAAGATATCGTTATGGAACTGATTCTTCCTTCCGTTTTAATTATTTCTGACTCGTCTCATTGACCCCACCCATTTCACTGCTTCACATGTAACATAATTAAACTCTCTCCCCTGTCGTCTCCGCCCCTCACACAACCTCCCATGTGATCCTTTCCGTATGAGTGGCAACATGGCGCATGATAGAACAGAATTATTTATGCCGGTTTTGCTAAGGACACCTGTTCCGTTCCTACAGAAGGGGAAACCAGAACGCGTAGGGCGTTGCACGAAATCTTGTAGACAGAGGATTTGGAGGTTCAGTGCCTCACGCTGCTTGTGTCAGAACATTTGCTCAAATTGACGTTTCAGAATTTTTGTCCCGTAGACAAATAATTACTTCCTTTTAGTAATAATTTGCCAAGAAATTTAATGTTGTGTATAAATATGAGATG